GCCAAATACTCACATCCCAGCTTGGAGCACACCCTGAATATTTTTGGGGGGAGCTGTGGATACAAACTGCTGGTTGCACCCCATCTCTAAGACCCCACATTCTCATGCTTTCTCAGGGTATTTTGGGGCCCCAGCACAAGCTCCCAGCACTGTGGGTGCACTGGCCTCACCAGGCTGAGGCTATCCAAACCAAATCAACCCCTTTTTGTGCAGGAAAACAGGGAACATCACAGCTAATTCCACTAGGAAAGGGAAGAAGGGCTGGCTCTGCCCCGTTGCTCACATTGTCCTGGGCAATGGGGCAGGAAATACCATAATTTAATTTACTATGGCAAAACCCATCTCTTATGCCCCCATGACAAATGTGGGGGAAGGTGGGCATTCACACACCACTTGGATTCTCCCTCATCCTGAGCTGCACTAAAATCTCTCAGCTTTGTGTAAGGAAAACCACGATTTCTAAGGGAGGTTGGGAAAGGGGCAGCGCTGACTGCTTTGTATTCTGGTACCAAAGGGACAGAGGAAATTAGTTTTCTTTAAGCAAACTTTAAAAGGACAGGAAATACTGTGGCTATTTCAGGCTGCTGGCCTGTCCTCGGCTTACCCCGTCTGGCAGCGGTGGGATGGGAGCTCTGTCGGGATTTGGAGGCTTAACTGAGGTGGAAGAGGATGAGGATGGGGCTGGGGATGAGGATGGGGACTGGGATGAGGATGGTGCCAGGGATTGGGCTGGGGTTGAGCTCACCTGGGGCAGGTGAGTTCACCTGGGGAAACCACTGCCAAACCCAGGACATGGAACATCCAGTGATTCAGGTTCCTCAGGGCCACTTCAGTCCTACCCCACCATGCAGAACCATCCTGGCAAAGCCAACACTGGCAAAGCCAAATGCCAGCACAGCAAACAGCCTTTATCTGCCCTTATCACAGCCTGTTTGCTTTGGAAGTTTGTTTTATTGTGGAATTATTTTAAACCGTGCCCTCTGTGTGAGCTCTTTTGGTGAAAAGTCAACAAAGCAAAAGGTGTTATTTGTTTTGTTCTCCTCTTCTAAAACAGTCAGTGAGAGGTGAAGCAGGACCCCAGCAAAGTCCTCCCAGCACCCCCAGCCACGCAGGGGGGACCCTTGATTTCCAAGACACTCCAGCCCAGCATGCTGGAAACGTTGGAGCCGATTCAGGTCAATTAAAGTTGAGGTTTTTATTGAATTAAAGTGTGAAAGTAAACACAGCCAGCCTGGTATTTTGGCTGGTTTTTTTTTGATGTTAATTCAATTTTTTTCACCTGCCTCATAAATGTGATTTAGAAGGTGATAGAGATTCCTGGGCTGGAGGAGAGCTGGGAGATAGGTTTTGGAGCTTGGAAAGGACGCGGACAGGTTTCTTGTGCCTGGGAAAGCATCGGCAGCAGGTCTGAGGTGAGGAGTAAAAGTGCTCCTGGCAGCAGCAGACAGGTAAAATCCAGTAAAATCCCCAGGGAAGGATTCCTCATGAGATGTGGCTGCACTGCCTTGGCTGGGGAGCCCAGGATGTCTCCAAACTGCCCATGCCCAGGGAGGAGGTGGCTTTTTCTGGAGCTCCAACTGAGATCAAACCCCCTGAATTTGCAGCGGTCAGTGCAGTAACTCACGTTGGCTGAGGGAAGACCTGGACACAAAAACACTGATTTAAAACAGGTCCCACAGGGGCAGTGTCCCACCAGCCCAGGGATCACCACAGCCAGAGCAGAAAAGGAGCCCAATGGGGCCTGGATGCATCTGCCCAGGGCAGGGCACTGACCTGCTCCTCATTTTTAATGCCTCTGCAAGATTTTCTTTCCCAAGAGCTCCCAAGTGTGGCTGGCTGTGCGAGCAGCGTATTTTTAGCAGGTATTCATGCAAAACAGCTCAGACCAACAGTTTGCAATGTAAAGTTAAGAGCTTCCACAAAAACTCAGAGTAAGCAGATTTGGGTCAGAGGGACTTTCTGCTGATTTTGGTGAAAGGAACCATCCAGCCAGGCCCAGGGCAGCTATGTAGGCCTGGAGCTGGTCACTGAGTTTTCCAGGTAATAAAACCCCACTGTCAGTAAATCAGACCAAAACTTGAAATCCTTCCATAGCCTGTGACTCTGCAAAGTTACAGACAAATGTTTCACCTCTTTCAATGTGTCACATCGAGCACAGCAGTCACTGAAACCACTGTGTGAGCATTTTCCCAGGCCTGTGCTCTCCCTGTCTCCTTTGCCTCTTTGCACCATCCTTGATCCTTGAGAAAAGAAAGCTGCTGGGAAGGAAGCACTTCTAAAAAAGTGGTAATAAATCCAACCCCCCTTTCCAATGTTGGCTTTAGGCTCCTTTTTGGTCCCCCCAATGGTCACCTCAACCCATTAGCACTGTTCCTGATGGAAGGTGGCAGACATAAGGCACCCCTAAGACCCTCCAGGGCCACCAACGTGCCAGGCACAAGCCAACATGGGTGAGAAACTCCTGTTATGGCCCCGTGAGCAGCAGGAAAGTGGGAATGGCAAAGTTTTTCTGAGCTCTGAGCAGCAAGTTCATCCTTGGCACAGGCATGTGGGACAGTGTTCGCTTCCATGGGTGCCCAGAGAAGGTGAAGGGTTTAAATCCAAGTGCTGAGGGGCTGCAAAGCTCTGCTTGGGTGGGAGTTTTATTGCTGTGAGGATGCCCGTGGCCAGCACAGCATCACACCCAGGTTACCTGCACCAGAAGAACGAGGGAAAGGAGTGTCTCACATTTTTAATTGTTTTAATGAAGAAGAGAAGCATCTCCATAGACAGCAATGCTCAGCACATGACTGGTCACCACATCCTTCAGGGTTTCAGGATGGCACCATCTCATTTTCTCCTACCTAGAGGCAAACCCTCTGGAATTTTCCAGCACCAACGGGCTTCTCAGCATGAAGGAAACTTCTCCCTAAACCAAACCACCAGAGTAAACTGGGATGAAATGTTCCAGCCCCACAAAGGATTTTTGTGAAGGCTGGGTTAGCACCTGCCCACCGACGGCTTCCACCTGGTCCAGCTCCTTACAACTGGGGCAGCAAATACCACTTATTTTAGTAAAAAATGGGTTTTATACTGTTAGACTTTATCACAGAGGGCTATAATTAGAGATTTAACTTTAAAATTGATTACTTTTAAGCTGTGAGTCCATAAAATACGTGATCAATGTGAACAGTGTGGGCCCCTCAAGAGCTGCCTGCAAGCTTGGTGGAAAAGTCGCTTTTAATACAGATATGGTAACAGAATTAGAACTGCAGCAACTGAGCAAAAAAACCCCAATACCAGATGGGTGCTGGTTATTAAATGGCTTTTTCCAGTTACATACATTCTGCTTTTACCAGCTGTTATGGGCTAAAAAAAGTCCTACATAATCATAAATGTTAATAAATACAGTACGAATACAGGGCTTTTTTCCCCCCTCTCTTTTGGTGTAGTTCTTTAGGATTACTATTCTCCAAGCTCTTTTCTGCAGCCACAAATACAAGTTGCCTTTTTTTTTCCCCTTTCCCTTGTGTGAAGAAACACTTCTGCAATCCCTAAGATTCTTGCTTTGGGACTTCATTTTTACATAAAAAAGCCTCCACACCAACACTGAACAACTGGCAGAGCTATTAAAAAATAAGCGCTCAACCCACTTCAAAATTATTTTTACTGTGTTTGGAACACACAAAACATTATGACATCATTCAGCCTTGTCACTGTATGCAATTGCAATCTATAGCTGTGGATATTTTCAGACAGCAAAAGCACTTTGAATCTTTTCAGGAGGAAAATCTCAAACCCAGGGAATGGCAGAGCTCACCGGTGCTGTGTGCCGAAATCTGATGAACAGGTTTGTTCTCCCTTTCCCCACAGCCACGGGATGTGGCATTAAGTTTATTCCAAAACACAAGATGAGAGTTCAAAACCCTTGGAAAGATGGGAGATCCTTTTACCTGGACTTCCCAGAAGTGTGTTGTTACCTCTGCGCTGTGCCTACGCTGGATGAAACGATACGGACTGACGACGTGAGCAGCTCCGATTGCAAATAAAAAAAATCTTTATTGCATCTTAAAAGCAAGTCTTAAAAAAAAAAAAAAAAAAAAAAAAAAAAAAAAAAAAAAAAAAAAAAAAAAAAGAGGGAAAAATAAATTCCATGCATTGAATTCAACCAAGTACCTACATCCTTGGGACTGTCACCAGAAACGATGGACATTGTAAGACACTGACTCTACACTAGTTGCAGTTTGCACTCCACACACGTGTGAACAATAGTTATTTCTTCTACTGGAATAGCAATTGCTCTGTAAGATCCCTTCAAACATGGCAACAACCACCTAAGCATCAGCTTTTCTCTGTTCCTTCACTCGTCTCCACTTCCCAAAGAGTAGGCAAAGTGGAACGGAGGGCAATGAGACGAAGTGGTGCTGGAGGACATGATAGAAAAATATATTGTTCACTGGTTTTTATTTTTTGTTTCTGCTGAGCAGGATATTTACAGGTAGGTAAGTCCCAAGAGATCATCTGCTTGATAACAATTTCCATACACTGTCCAAGTGTCAATGTACAGGGTTCCCTTTCTGACTTTAAGGCACTTTATTTTGTGTATTTTCTCTTACCTTGCTAGGTGTTAATTCATAGGGATCTCACTTTCCTTGTATTTGGCCTCCCCATCCCCTCTTCCTCTTACAATACCAAATAAATTCATAAGCTCACTGAAGTCCTTCCAAAAATGTTAAAGAAATTCAGGGGGGAAAAAGAAAAAGATTCGTGAAAAAATATTTTAGAAAGTAATCTTTGGAGATCATTTACTATAAGTATGATGTACACTACCTTATCAGTGAGAAGATGCAATACATTCCTAATATATATATATATATTTACACACACATATATATATATATAAAATATTAAAATGACTAACAGATATTCAAGGAAAGGTCAAGAATCTAAAACAATGGATATTAAATAAATTAACGGTCTAGAAGATACAGAAAAAAAAAATAATCCCAAAACAAAACTAGTAATCAAATGTAATAATTGTTCCCATTAACATCACGTAATTGACTGAACAAAATCGATGCGATCGGGCGCAGGACACTCAGCGCAGAGGAGTTTTCCAAGTTCTTTTCAGGAATCTTGGATTGTTCGCTGTGTGCTGCCGTTTGGCTGCAAGAGATTCCCATTTCCCAGCCTCTTCCCCTCCCACACGACACTTCAGCATTTCTTGGTCGCATCGCCCAGCTCTAGGACAGCGGTTGAGGACAATACACAGAACCCACCACGGATTCCTAAAACATTCCGTCCATATACGGACCAAATAAAACCACAACAATTTCTACAGGGGCTAACTGGGTCACGGGTTGTGCTTACTTCCTTCCCTCCCTTGGAGTCGCCTGCCCATTATAAGTGGAAGTGTATTTTTAAACTGAAATAATCAGGAAATAATTAGGAAAACCCCCCCCGCTGCGATTACCACCCTTCTCATCGCCACGGCGGTTTGGTTTGGTCTCACACGATTTGAAAATTCATGGCTACGCTGAACCAAAGGAGCAGAATCTTTGCAGGGCAGCAGTCACACCAAAACATTTAGACACAGCGTTTTGTCACTTGGCTTTGCACGCTCAGGTCCCAATTTACAGAATCCCAGCAATGAAGACGGCAACGGAAACGGCAGGAAACAATCTTTTGTTCATAAGGAAATTCTAATTCAAGTCAGATTTCCGCTGATTGGTCAGATAACTCTTAACAATTATTTTGTTTTGTCTGAAGGCAAATATTGATCACAGTTTTGTTCAAGACCAAAAACACAACAGCAACAACAACAACGACAAAAAAAAAAAAACCCAAGGGTCTTGTTCTTCTCGAAACAAGCGCTTTGTAAGAAAACAACGATGATTTCTAAAATATATCCTGTGTGGTCTTTTAAAAGTGAATTATCAAAAAACATTTTCCCAAAAATAAATTAGATAATTAAAAAAAAAGTCTTTTCCAGCATAGCTGGACATTAGGCTGTCCTCACTGAGCCATTAGTATTGCTGCTTTTCCCAAAATTGGGGTCATTTTTTTCAAACCATATTTCAGCCAGCTGTTGTGTGGACCCATAAGTTGAAGCTTTGGACCCCAAGCACATTTTATATTGTTTTGGATCAAGATTAGGGTCACAAAAAACAGGGTGATGCACGTGGACTACTCCAATTTCTTGGCTTCGGAAAATTTTTAAGCCAGCCTGAATGACTTTGTTAAATAGATCTACGTCTTCAAGGCCCCAACCTTGGATGGAGACATCAAAGCCACCTGCTTGAAGAAGATCACCTTTGTAAATACAGGTGATACCAAAGCCGTAGTTCCTCCAGAAACCTGTTTTCTGGGTGAAGGCAAAATGATTGTCACTAGGAACCTTTCCACTATAAACAATCTTTGGATCATACTGGCTAAAAATGATGGGAAAATATACTTGTTGACCCAAAACTGTATTGGCTCTACACCGCTGGAGGAATTCTGCGGTAAACACTAAGTCAACATCACAGAAGAAAAGTAAAGACTCGTTCTGGAACTGAGAAGATCCGACTTCCAGAGCCAGTGCCCTCGAGAACTCCCCCGACACCGGCAGGACCTGCATGTCAGCCTTGGGGTACTTGGAGCGGTACTCCCTCATCAGATCGATCTGCTTCGCTTTGTCAGGGTTGGAGTTGGAGCTGAAAATCAGGACAACCAGCTTGACATTCTGGTTTGGAATGAGGCACGTCTTTTCAAAATTCCCCATGAACCTTGCGAACATGTCGAAACGCCCGGAGAGAGGAATCAGGATGTTGATCTTCTTGTCTTTGAGTTCCTTCCTCTCTGCCCTGGATCTGCTGAGCTGGAAGGGAACGAACATCTTCAGCGAGTTGGAGAGGAAAGACAAGGAACCAGAATCCTGGTTGATTTTGCTGGCCAGCTCTTTGGCGTCCATCTCCTCGTGCTCCATGAACTGGATCTTGCTGAACGTCTGCTGCAGGTACGCGTGCCTCCGGACGGGGACCGTCATCTTCTTCCCCTTGTGCTTCTTGTACAGGAGCAACAAGTCCAGAACGTACTCTGCTCCGTACATGGGGTTCACCCTGCGATAGCCATACTGTATTTCCTTGAAATCTATGATCCTCCCCCGGGTCTTGGCGTTGGCGTTGATCATTTCCATGACCTGCATAACGATGTCATCCAACGCTTCGCGCTGAGATGAGTCCATTCCTCTCCGCGGGGGCTGCCCGTCGGCACCCGAATACAAATATTTTCCCGTGAGAAACTCCCACTCCAAGATCTCTTCCCGGTGGCGGGGCTGGAATCGCATGAAGGAGGGCGGCATCCCCAGCTGCAGGTCTTCTTTGTGGATTTCAGTGTTGCTGTATTTGCTCATCAGGACGATCTCCCGGTGCAGCTGCACGGTCCGGTGGCGCAGCTCCGCTATCTTGCGGCTCAACATGTAGCTGTGAAGCCTGTACTGGTACGGGGGGTTCTTGTTGGGGTGCAGCGTTATAGCTCGGTGTATTTTGCTGTTCCTCAGGTCTCGGATGTAGCCCTTTTTGTTCTTCTCATAATTCTCGTAGAACAGCTGCTGCATCTAGAAGAGAGAGAGGAAAAGTTACAGTCTCGGCAGTGTGGTCCCCGTGAAAGTCAGCCCACGCAACCCCGCTGGGAGAGAATTCCTCCTCGCTTGCAGGGCCAGAAGGCTTTCTGAATAAGCTGTTCTTGGGTTTAGGCACAGGTTGTAGCAATACCAGCTGCTATTCAAGGAAATTAAGAGGATTATTCATTGTAAACTGGTGAAAGAAACATCCATCATGGATTTGGGATTAGTACAGCCCATTCTAGAGGTATCACCGTTGGGCAAACAACTGAGCAGTAAGTCAACTGTAAGCTCATTTTTTCACGACACACCATCACCAGGAAAAAACATCATGAAGTGTTCACTACAAAAATCTTAACTATTTGTCTGCCTCCCATTGTTTTAATAATAACAATAAAGAACAATTAAAAAAAAAAAATCCAGGTTTAGGCATTCAAAATCCAGGTTGCTGAACATTTTAGTCAGGGTGCCAAATACTTTATTTCAAGTGCTGCAATGCAAAGCTATAGTTGTCATTTTAAAATGTCAGTAAAATGCACCTGAGATTCCTAGAGTTCCAGAAGGCAGGTAATACAGGATGCATGTGTACACTACAATAAAAACACCTTTATGGCAACTGCCATTTCAAAACAAGAAGACAGAGAGCTGAGATGTGATTTACAAGCCTTAGTAAAGCAGACAAACCAGCTTTCCTGTTTTTAGCAGCGCAGGCAGTAGCTGATATCATGAAAGAAAAATCACGATGATAACGTGGAAAATAAGCTGGGAAAAAAAAAAGAGAAACAAGAGAAAAAATCCCCTCGAGGCCAAAGGCATATACCAGCTCAGGTAATGGAAATTTAAAAAGATCATGGGCTGATTCTGTCACAGCACAAACATCATCAACCTGCCGGAGGAGCTGGCACGGCACCTTCATTCGATATGGGACCCAATCGATGCTGCTGGCAGTAGAATCTGCTACAGGTAACACAGTCAATAAACCACAAAGGGCTGTAAAGGGCTGCAAAGATTAGCAAAGAGCTAAACCAAAAACAAGAACCAGTGAGAATGGCTCGAATATGATGGCAATTAAACTGAGCACTAAAGGGAAAATCACCGGAACAGAAACCCTCCCTTTACCAGCTGCTCAGAGGCAGCACAAGCCCTGTTTTATTAGGCCTTCAGCTGCATTTTTCCCATTATTGTGGACAGACACTGAAGCTAGGGATAAACTTACACCTGGATTTAATTGCTGCTATCTTAACACACCAGCTGTGTGCATGCTGAAAGCTGCCACTCGGTGCATCGCTGCCGACAGCTCGGGAGCAAGCTGTGCCTACTGGAAGCATGGATTTTAATCTGAACAAATGTAATTCATTGCAAAGGAGGGAGGGAGGAATTGCAGCCAGATTGAGAAAGAAAGGACATTTATTTCATGGGTCACCCCCTGCCCCCCACCCCTTCTTTCCTGCTCAAGTTCACCTTCTTCCCGCTCTCCCCCAAGTGATCCCTGCTGCGTGCCTGCTGTCTGGGAGCAATCCAGGCCAGAGGATAGATGGATCTGCACAGCAATGCAGCCAAAGGAGAACATCTTGGCCATGGCCTCTTGGCAGGCCTCAGATGAGCTGCCTGTCGAGATGTATAATATCCCTTTAGAAGTCATGCAAGATTTAAAAGCGCGCTACGGGCAGAGGTTGGCTGGTCTAATCCTGCGTTCAGCCGTTATCCAAACGAAGCATGTTTTTCCACTCACCCAAAGATGTTCTTCATTTCTATCCCCATATTGTTTCCTCTACTAACAACACTCTATTTTTTGGTCACTCTGAACCTGGCTGCTGCTGTGAAGGGCTCTAGGAGACCTCCAATCACACCCACTTAGGGTCAGTCCTGTGAGCACAATTTATTACAGCAGGGAGCTCACACGGGAAGAACGAGATCAGCCCAACGCTGCAGGACCCACATGGATATTTTACTGACTCCACTGATCTATCCTCTCTCAAGCTACACATATGGAGAACTAGAAGCACTAAATGCATATGGCAATAATTTTACTGACCTTTTAACTACAACTAAAGGCAGAGGCTTTCCCAGGAGTATTGTGACATTAGATAAAAGTTCTTAAATCACGTCACTATGCGATTTCCACTATTTAAAGCAAAACTGACAATAGGACTTCATTTCAAATCTTGTTTTGAATTTAAAAGAAAACAAAATCAAGACCATGCAGCCTGAATGCATTTACTCCGAAATTGCTACCTAGGGCATTCTGAATTAGCTACAAGAGGAAACCATGAGAAGCAGAAAGACTTTTAGATTACACAATGATGTTTTAATAGAATACTGATGGGTAGGAAAATGTTATGAAACTTCCCAATGGAAGTCAAGATAGGAACCCCTAGCAGATGGCCCTAAATAAAGTTAAGAAGTGTACTTTAAAACTCTGGCTTGCCCCTCAGGAGCCACTTTTCAGGTACACTGGTTAACCTTGAACTTCTAATACTATATTTTGCCTCTTCCAAAAACTAGCTTGCTTCAAAAACTGAAAAAAACCCCATATCTCAGCAAGACTTTACTGGTGCTTCAACACAAAGCAATTTACAACTGAAATGCCTATCAACAGCCACCTTGCTCCAGCCAAAAAGGTGACCACTGCCCAAACCCTACGCTCCGGCCAACCCTGTGGTGCAGCTAATGAGAAGCACCACAGTAGCCAGGCTTCTATATAATCCTATTTTTCAGAAGAATGCCTTGAAAGGCTGGCACCTTCAATATTTTTCCTGTGAAGTCTCCCCTCTCCTCCTCCAGTGTCCCTCTTGTCTCCTTGCATTCTGCAAGCTGCAGTGGGCACGGGATGTGCCAGCTTCCCGCAGCTCCAATCACCCACCTGGGAGCCAAGGAACACCGGTGGGAAACACAAAGGGCATTGGAAGGGATTAATAAATTCTCTATGGAGAGTCCAAGACTTACAGACTATTTTTTCACAGTGACATGAAGTGTTGTACACAAAGTCCAAGTGGCCAGAGGCCAGTGGGGCAGTTTAACCCTTCCTGGGCCCAGGTGCTGGTGGACACTGCCCCAGGGCCACAGAAGCCCTGGGATGCTCATGGGCTTTCCTCCACAATAAGAAGTGGTTCTGTTTTCTCGCCCACACCTACAAACTTGGAGGAAATGAGCAGTTCCCTCCATGCTGTTTGACAACTCCACCAAAATCAAAATCACTAATCAAAATCCATCAAAATCACTAAGGCAGCGCTACCACTGGGTTCAATCACTAACAAGGGCAATGCCCAACTATCACAAATCACTGCTAACATAATTTTCTACCTTATTTGGGTCCAAAACACTATGCTAAATATTACTTATTAGCACACACCAACTTTCAACTCCAAGCAATACCGGAAAGCCATAAGGAAGACCAAAAAAAAAAAATCATAATTAACTGTTGTGTACATCATTAATAGTGGGGTGCAGGAAGGCCACAGAGAAAGTAATACCTGTAATTTATCTGCTCCTCCCACATAGCAGCCATTAAACACATGTGGGGAGTGACACAAGCCCGGCACACGCACGTCTCCAACAGACATTACGTGCAAACCTCCCCATGCCTGTTACCAGAGTCCTGAGAGCTGAACTCCTGCAAAACCCTTCTTTTAGGGAAACAGGTTCCTCTGTGATTCTTCTCAGAAAAAGAACCTTTCATGGATATTAATTTTGCAATGATTATATTCTGAGCATGCTTTATTCTAGTGCGGAGCACTGAGAGCGTAGGGATACAAAGAAGATCTACTCTTTATTGACCACTATTTACTCTAGACCTGTTGAAGCCTTAAAAACCCTAATGTTCCCCAAACCATTAGAGACTGAATGTTTAAACTGTGGTACAGCTGTTGTGGGCACTGCTGGCTCGTGTCCAAAAGACCAACTGAAAGGAGAGAGTGTTATGTTCTTCGTTTTAAATGAAGAAGTCTTTTGCAGGCCAAAAAAAAGTGTACTGGAGAAAATGGACTTTAAAAATAAGACCAGTTTATGCAGAAACTGGCCTGCAGCCACGGATTAGCCCCCGAGGGCTTTCTCTCACAGCTCCAGATTGTACTACCAAAGCCCAGAGAACGCAGCCCCACAAGTCTCATGAAAAGCAATCACGGACAAGACATGTTGTATGGCAGGTTTTGAAATGCCCAAGATGGGCTTTAAATACAAAGGCAAGCTAATTAAAAGATGGTTCATGTCACCTAGTGCCGAGCACCTCTGTCTGGAGGGGATGAGCATGCGGTCCCTCTCCACAGTCGGTGTGGAGCTGTCCTACTATGGGAGCAATGCGGGTGCTGGGACAGCCCTGCCCCTGCCCCAAAGCTCTGCAGCCAAAACAAGGCAGGATGCTCACCCTTATCTTCTCCTTGCTCCGCCTTCCAGACATGCAGCAGAGGTGGTGCACTGGGGACAAATCCTGTTGGCTGGTTGAAGTGAAATGAAAAGACTTTCTGCACCCACATCCCAAGGAACTGCATGAAATAATTGCAGCTGCACTCACATGGCTTTGCCACTTCACAGTGATTAACCTCAACAGATCATTAGTTTTCTGGTTTTTATATCACCAATACAGCTTAATTGATCAAATATTTTGCCAAGGGAAGGAACAGCGGGGCTCTGTTTACTGCTGACATCCCTATGGTGGAGGGGGAGACTGCAGGGACCCCCTGGATACAGCTCTGGGTATTCAAGGTTCTTTCTGTTTAAACCCCGCTGCTTTATGTGCAATTCCACAGCTAAACACTGACATGACTGAAGCCACTCCTTCAGAGAGTTATTATGGTGGAGACAAACACAGGGAAGTAATGGGTAAACACTCACTTCCATGAACTTGGCCACTCGTTCATGCCCGTAACCTCCCCAGTTGCCACTACAGGAAAGGATGCAGGAAACGCCACTCGGCTCTGGGAGATCAGACTTCCCTCTCAGCTGGCAAGTGAAGCCCTGAACTCTGGAGCACGATTAAATGATGTGATTCCTCAGAC